TTTCTGTTATTAAAATGTTATTAAAATTTCTGTTATTTCTGTTATTAGTAAATTAATCTAAAAATTTTGTTTAATTTTTTTACTGAATATTTTCATCATAAGGAAATTTAAGGCAGATGGATTATTTTATTTAATATAAGTTGTTCGTTTCTCCATAAATATTTAAACTATGCTTTCGAAATTTTGTGTAGTTTTTACCAAATTGCAAAAGCAATTGATACAAGCAACGATCTTATTGTCATATTTTTTGGCATCGATTGTTCAAAAACTCTCTTTTTTATTCGTAATTTACTGTCGATCTCTCCAACTTCTGAAAGCTTTAAATTTGATATGTATGAGGAATTGCATGACCTAAACACTTTTAAAGTTATAAGATGATACTCGATGCATTTCTTAAGTGAGAAAAAAAATACGTTAGTACAGATGTGTTTCAATAAGTTTACCCTTCCTCTGTATAATACTATTGAAGGGGGAGCAATTTTATTTTGTTCATGCAAAAATATTTATTATTTAAGCTGTAATCAGATTTTATAATGCTTAAACTAACCAGGTATTAAACTTAATCGGATTAAAACGATTTTATTTTTTAAATAGTTTTAAAAAACTGGATAAAAAAATTATACATTTTGAATAGCCATGAAGTGGAATCATTTCTTCTATTAATGAAACTACAATTTCGCTCAAATAAATTACATTATAATTCTTTTTGACATTTAATTTGAAGTTTTAGAAAAATAAGTAAAATAAAAAAAAATGTATAATTCCAATCTACAGATGAAATATTCATCTTAATTTGAAAAAGAAATGCAGAAGAGAAATTCATTAACTTGTTTAAAAACGCATATTTCGTAAACTAAAAAAGTAACTCTTAAAATGTTTTTAAATTTTCTTAAAGTTATTATTTTATTGAAATAAATATTTCCGTTCAACTAAATTTGTTTAAAAACTACCCCAGTATAATTAAGTTAATAAAATATCAACCAAAACTTCATTTTATTAGTAGCAACATATTACTTAAATTATTAACTGTAATTCAAATTTACCTTCAGCAAACTCAGCAACTGTAAGAAAAGTAGTAGAATGAACTAAACTAGTTTAACTTTATGCAAAAAAAAATATGAACGATAAAAAACTTAAACTTTGGTTTAAAAATAATTTTTGGATTCTTTTTGGAAACATCAATATTTTTTCTTGCAACTTAAAGAAATGAAAAGAATCTCTGAAAAATGTAGAATTAATATAAGAAATATTGAATTGTAATAATTCTTGAATTAGAGCTTACTGTGATACTTTAATCAAATCAAGTACATTATTATAAACTTGCTAATTGCATTATGTAAAACTAAATTTTTAAAATCATTCCAATGTTAACTTTAAAACAATAACGTATATAGTTATGTTTGTTGGAAAGCTTATTTTTTGCAGTATTAATTTTAAATGAATGATTTAAAATAATCAATTAAATCTTTGTAAAAGAACCTGTTTCGAATAAGAATAACAATTGTTGGTATGCAAACGTTGCATTATACACGTAAAATGAAACGTTAAAGATAATTATTACAGGATTGCTCTCAAGTAAGAGATAAATTGATTTTTTGGTAGATACAGGTATTTTTTAGCCTGATATAATATTTACAAACGATTTTCATGGATTTTTATTACTCTTTCAAAATTTTCAAAATTCATAAAAGCTTACCCTTGTCAGTAAGTTCTGAAAAATATTAGAACATGATAAATATAATTTTTTAGAATATAATATTATCACAGATTACTCTAAAAGTATTCTCAATTTAATATTTTTTTTAAATATTACAAAGTATTATGATAATCTGCTAATGATTATTAAAAAAATCCTAGTTTTTTAAAAAATATTTAAACTATTCTTTCATAATATAAGTTATGATGACAGCTAAAAATTGTTTTTTTTTTATCTAATCTCGCTATTAATGTCTTTAATTATAAAAAGAAAAAATATAAATTGCTGAAAGCTTAGACTTTTAGATATTGAATTAAACCTTAAGGTACAGTCTAATTAAATGTTTATGAATGAAATGTGTGAATGGATGAATATAGAATATTTACGGAATTAAAATATTTTAAACATATATGCCTTAAAAAATTAACTTCAATTCCTTAAAAAATTTAATACATATTTCTTTAAAATATATTAAAATTATTTGTATGGCATAGAATACGTACCCATAAAAAAGTCATCTGAAAGTGAAGAATATCAAATTATGTTAAATATGTAAATTTAGTAAAGATTATTAGTGTTGAAGTAAAATATTTAAAATTAAATTTAGTTAAATATCCAACAATTGTGTGCGTGTAATGACTATCATAATAATAACATGGATTTTTTCATAATCGAAAAAATATTGTTAATTAATTTGGTAATATAATTAAAAATGGTATAATTAATTTAAATAAATTTAAAAAATTATTGATGCAAAGAATTTAAACGACAAAATATTTTTATAGGAGTAAAAACTTCCTCTATATTTCTTTTCATTTTCATATTGAAATTAAATTAGTTAGGAATTAAATTATAATTATAAATATTAATGTTCCGAAATAAAGCAACAGTTATTAATTTTCATGACTAATAAATTTGATTTAAAAAATGTTTCAAAACAATCTACTTACGCATTTCATCTAAACCTAAAAAACGTATATCAAAAGTATAAAATATTCTTGGAATGATTATCATACATATACAAAATTTTAGTCATTTGTACAAAATTTATAGTTGAACATCAATGAACGCCTGAGGAAGAATTCTTTTCGTCCTATTCCCCTTTTTTACATTCTTCTTTTAAACAAGTAAATGTAAAAAAAATATTATAATCGATTTGCGAGTTTTAAACAAACTTTCTAATATAAGTTTTCGAATTTCGCAATACTCTAAAATATTATTATATTTCGACATTTTCAAAGCGCTTTTTATATCTTTAATTAACTCCATGAATCTGCTGCAGCAATACCTGTTTCATTAACAAATTAAATGTAATAGATGTTATCTTCATTATTGTCAAAAAATTTCTAAGTAATACTAAGAAATTTTTAACAAAATTATATGCTACTTGTAAAATTTTCGAATTCATTAACAAGTTTAACTTCCTTATACATTTGAGCTAATTTTGAAATTTAGAAAATTATATGCTAATGGCCTTTTATTACATCAATGAATAAATATTAAACGTATTGAATTATAAATATTAAATAATATAAATATTGATGAATAAATATTAAACGTATTATACATTCAATACTTGTAGTATTAATTTTGTATTTTTGAAAAAGTTACTTTTTCGTTGCTTTCGATTACATAATTTATTAAAATAATCGGATCAAAATTTAACTTCTTTATTTAATAGTGAAATCAAATTTTGTCTATCTATCAACCATAGCTGAAAACTATATTAAACTTAATAAACCAAAATTATTTTAATCAAACACTACTAGATAACATGGTAAGTTGCTGCACTTTAACTTCTTTGAAAATAGTTTAAAATATTATAAATTTATTTTTTTCACACTGTAAAAAACTTTTAATATGCATGTTCGTTTTATTCAATTAAACTGTATAGTGTTTGCTTTAACCATACTACGTGTAATTTGTTTAGAATATTGATTAAAAAAAAGCATTTAGTTAATATTTATCCATTTGCAAAAAAAAAGCCTCAGCCGTTCCTAAGAATCGAGCAGGTACCACCATTTGAATAAATATTTTTATATTTTTAATTTTTCTAGCTTTATATTTTTCTATCTATTCGAAGAATTTTGTGTTGTGGATTCAAATGTTAAAGTAATGCATTAGCTTCAGTAACTTACATAGAATCTGAACTTTTTTTTAAAAAATCGTTCATTGTTCCTTTTTTCTATACAGCATAATTTTTAATGCTCCATGAAATAGATGCTAACTCAAATTTATTTTGCATCTACAGTGGGCCATAACACGTGTTATGAATAATAACGATAAGTATTGTTGCTCTTGTATTATGTTTTATGTTTTGAAAATCAGTAAAACATTTTGCGGAATGAAAATCTGATTTTTGTATCTTTATATTAAAACTTCATATCTTATTATAATATAATTATAATTTTAATAATATATTTATAATTTCAATAATATATTTATAATTTTAAAATATATTTATAATATATTTAAAATATATATAAAATTATTAAATTATATTTAATATATAGTTAAAATATATTTATAATAAAATATATTTTAAAACCAGATAGTGAAGAAAAAATAAAGAATTTAAATGAACGCTAAGAAAAAAAAAGTATTACTGAAACTTCTAGAAATGGTAAAATTTGACATGTTTCCGGTCCCTATAGGTGCACCAAAAAGATCGGTAATTTTTACCAAAGTGCTTTGGTCAGGATTTTGATAAAAATAACAATAAAATATGGTTTTAAAATGTGTGATAAAATTTGGTAAATTGGTTAAAAATTGATTATTTTATCATGATACATCAGAAAATGGCACATTTAATTATATTTCATTTCTATTTTTGTATTTTGTACTAAATTTGTGGTAATAAGAATATTAGTTTCGAAAACTAGCACTTCCGATAAACCGTTACTGTTCGAATGGAAAAATTACCAAATAGTTGTTTATAAAAATCGCAAATTCATGTTTTATTGCACAGAATTAGTTTTTTTTTTAAAAAACCAGAAATGTCATTACTGTACATTTGTTAGAATTTTCTATTCGTACTGGGTATCATACTTGAAAGTAGTTTTTTTTTAGGTATCATCTTTTTATTGTAGTTTTAGTTTGAAATTTTTCAATCATTGGTCTTGTTACAAAAATATAATTTATGAGAAAAAAATATATGTGCATTCATGTGTAGCCCAAGATACGGAGATATAAACTTAATCATTCTAAAAAACTGTTATAACAACATTGCATTATAATATTAATGTTTTGGTTTTGAAAGCATTATTTTGTTAATGAAGTTTGTTTCATTAACTACTTTTATAATAAAATTATAAAAAAATATTTGTTTATTGATTTTAACCTTATTAGTGTGATTAAAGTGTAACCAATATTTACCTTCTTCAGAAGCTACAAGAAAAAACAAGAAATTAATATTTATATTTTGTTCACAAAATATTAAATAATAATAAAAAGATAAATAAGATAATTCTCATTTGGTAAAAGAAAATTTAAAAACTCGTAACAATCCATACAATAAAATAAATATTTGATTCATTTTTATTTTTTTATATTTTTAAACTTCACTTTTTCATTTTGTGCAATTTACGCTCTGTATTCACATGAAATATATGTTTTCATCTTGGGAACTTTTTGATTAAATTTAAATTTTTGGAGTGTAAGGAGATAAAATAGCAAAATTTATTTTATGTAATTCCTTTTAAAGCAACTTTTTAATAAATATAATGTAAAGTAACGTATATCATACTAAAATAAATAAAATTCTATACTTACATCCAGATTTTGGAATTACGGCTATAAAATAAATCAAGATTCAAAACAAAATAATTATTACACCTTTTCTATAATACTATTTCATGATAAATATCTAAAATATTTATAAAAATAATTTCATTTGTAATATATTTAATTTGTATTAAGAATGATAACAATGAATTTCCAATTAAATTTAGTAGGAACAAAAAGAAACCTATTATTTTTTAATGATATTGATGGAAGTTACACGAAATTTTTTCCCTCTTCCAGAATGACTAAAGAAATTCATAATTTAAATTAATATTAAACCTGGTTTAATATTAATTATAAATAATTATAATTAACATTAAACCCGGCATCATGAATTTAATCAAACGTTAACGAATAAAATGGACACGCTATTATAGTTTATCGTTTTTATAATATTTTGTAACACAAAAAACCTACTTAGAGTCTTAAGCCGCTCTTTAGACGCTTAATAATCAGTACTAAATATTTTACATATTTGGTATGTTACATGATTAGTTAAATAATACAGAATTAGTGCCAAAATTAATGTTACTTGGTTATTATTTATAAATCATGTGGTTAAATAAGTCACAATCAATATCTAAAGATTATAAATAATTTTACCATATTTTGTACAATTGGCATAGAATATTAATATTATTTAGTTAATAACCTCAAATAACGTGACAGAATAATATTTGATATTAAAAGTTTTAAATTTGACAGTCGAAACAAATTTTTCGTACTCTTAAAACCATGCAATTACCTGGTAAAGTTGCTACATAAAAAAGGAAAATAATAAGATCAGTTAACAAATGTTTAGACTAACTCTTTAATTTCAATAATATATACAGATAGAGAATAATATAATAGATTATAGATAATATATAATAGATACAGATAGATTTATGTTTAACTTCTTTCTTGATTTTACTCATTCATTAAAAGGGGTATCTAAAAATCTTTGAAATATTAATTTAAAAGATTTGAATTATCAATCTGTGTACTCACATATTTTCACTGGACCTATGCGAAAAAAATAAAATTAATTGCTAAATTTAAATTCGTAAGAAGTAACATGAATTTTTTTGAAAAGAGAACAATATCTTTTGAAGTAATTATACATTTACATAATTCCATTCTATATCTGCTCTAATTTATTTCATAAAACAAATATTGTTATGAAAATAATTTTTCACTTTAAAATGAAAATTTTATTTTTTCTGGAAATTTTACTGAATAAGTAATGAACAAATGAAAATTTTTAATATCCAGAATTTCATTTGCACTGTCATGATTGATTTTTTTAAAGAAAGAATATTGCTAAATTATTTACCAGGTTCCAAAGCTACAAATAAAAATAAAAGAATTGTTATAAAAGTATACTAGTTAACATGCAGAATGATTATTAAAATTTACATCGCGTTTTTTTAGTTTTACAATCATAGTATATTTAATATTTTACGCTTACATTTCATACCGTAAATTACTTTTTCTATTGAGTTGAGTTATTTCAAGTATACTTAATTACCTACAGTCATTAATTAGTCTATAATTGCAATTAAAACATACATATAAGGTCTTAATGGAAACGTACAGTGGATTCAACTTTCCCCGTGTCCACAAACAGGGAATTATACAAAACGTAATTTTCGTATTTATAAAGGAATGATGACTTATAATATTTCGGAGTAATTTTTTATTTTTTCTGTCATTTAAACATTCTCTTCCGAATCTTGTAACCATAATCGAAATTAAATTTACATCTGATTCCCTTAAAAAATTAAAACTATGGAAAAAATAAAACAAAGACTTAAATCTTAAAAAAAAATACTAAGTTTGAATCAAATACATTTCAGTAAAATATATCCAGTTTCGGAATAGTTTTTTAACAAAAAATTATTCCAAAATAGTTATAAACTACCTTATAACTAAGGAAATTGGAGTCTTAAAATCAACCCTATTTTAACTTATTGTAATTTGAATATCTTTTATACAACGACTTAAATTTTTATAGAATAAAATTAATATTTACTACTAATATTGCACAATAATATTATGTACGAGGTAATATTTAAAAGTTTTTAATCAAAATTAATTCACATACTGGGCAAATTTTCTAAAAATGAACCTGGCATCATGAATTTAATCAAACGTTAACGAATAAATTGGACAAGCTATTATAATTTATCATTTTTATAATAATTTGCAACACAAAAAAACCTACTTAGAGTCTTTACCCACTTTTTAGACGCTTAATAATGAATACTAAATATTTTATTTATTTGGTATGTTACATGATTAGTTAAATAATACAGAATTAGTACCAGAATTAATGTTACTTGGTTATTATTTATAAATCATGTGGTTAAATGAGTCACAATACTAAAGACTATTAATTATTTTTACCTTAATATTTTGTATAATTAACATCGAATATTAACATTATTTATTTAATAACTTCAAACAACGTGGCAGAATAATATTTAATATTAAAATTTTTAAATTTTGACAGTCGAAACAAATTTTTTATACTCTTAAAACCATGCAATTACCTGGTAGAGTTGCTACATAAAAAAGAAAATATTAAGATTAGTTAACAATGGTTTAGACTAATGCATTTCATTTTATTGTAGCATCAGTTTAAACATTACATTTAGAAAGAAAAAGTTTGGTCTAAACTATCAGAATATAATGAAATTGACAGTGTTTCTACCTCTGTAGAAATATTTAAAGACTCGGTAATTTTTTCTCGGAATGATTTTATTAAAATTAACAATAAAATATAGTTTTATAATATATGATAAAATTTCATGAATTTCTTAAAATTCAGCAATGTTAACATGATACTTTAGATCATGGGATAAAATCTATTTTTTTGTTTAAATTTATTTTTTAGTTTTATATTTCTTACATGTACTCACTAAATTGTATTTATAACAAATTGTTTATAAACAACGGTTTAAGTACCATACATTCAATTTCCCATAACCAGAATTATGGTTCTTTTTTTAATATCGGAATTACAGTTCGGTATTTTTAGGTAATTTTACGAGAGTACATTGAGCAAAAGATGTCTTTATCAGTCTTTATTCATAAACTGTTTAATTTCAAGTTATATATAAATATATATATATAGAGAGAGAGATAAATAGATGGATAGATAGATATAGATATATGTTTAAAATCTTTCTTGATTTTACTCATTCATTAAAAGGGGTATATTAAAATCTTTGAAACCTTTATTCGAATTATGAATGTGTGTACTCACATATTTTCACTGGTCCTATACGAAAAAGATAAAATTAATTATTAAATTTAAACTCGTACGGAGTAACATGAAAATTTTTTTTAAAGAGAACAGTATCTTTTGAAGTAATTATACATTTACATCATTTCGGTTAATATATGCTCTAATTTATTTCATAAACAAATATTGTTATAAAAATAATTACTTAATTTAAAAATTAAAATTTTATTTTTTCTGGAAATTGCAAATGAAAATTTACAAATGAAATTATATATTTTTTCTAGAAATTACAAGAGAAATACAAATTAAAATTTTTAATATCTATGAGTTTATTTGAATTGTCATGATTGGTTTTTTAAATAAAGAATATTGTTAAATTATTTACCAGGTTCCAAAGCTACAAATAAAAATAAAAGAATTGATATAAAATATTTGATATAAAATAATACTAGTTAAGATACAAAATGACTATTAAAATTTACATCGTGTTTTTTAAGTTTTACAAACATAGTATATTTACTATTTTATGCTTACATTTCGTACCGTGAATTACTTTTTCAATTGAATTGAGTTATTTCAAGTTTACCTACTTTCATTAATCAGTTAATAATTACAATTAAAGCAAGCATATAAGGACCCACTTCAAACGTACAGTGGATTCAACTTTCCCCGTGTTAACCAACATATGAAATGTATTTTTCGAATTTATTAAAGGAATGTTCATTTATAATATTTCGCAGCAATTTTTGATTTTTTCTGTCATTTAAGCATTCTCTATCGAATCTTTCTATCAAACCATAATCGAAATTAAATTTACACCTGATTCTTTTAAAAACTAAAACTATGGAAAAAATTAAAACAAAGTCTCAAATCTTAAAAAAAAAGTTAAATAGCATAAAGTTTGAATGAAATACATTTGAGTAAAATATATCCAGCTTCGGAATAATTTTTTAACAAAAAAATTATTCCAAAATAATTACAAACTACTTTATAACAAAGGAAATTGAGGTCTTAAAATCACCATAGTATAACATGGCATAAGTAGAATACCTTTTATAAAATGGCTTAACTTTATATAGAAGAAATTTAATATTTACAACTAATATTTTCAGAATAATATTATGTACGATATAATATTTAAAAAATTTTAATCAAAATTAATTCACTTACCGGGTAAATTAGCTAAAAATGAAGGAAAATAAAATATTAATATAAAAAAAATTATGATTACTGAAGAAAATAGATGTTATGAAGTGTTTAAAGGAAAGATACGGAAGAGAGAATTCAGAAACGAATGAAAGCAATTATAAGGAGAGAAAAGAAAGTTACATTTGAAAAATCCTTTTTAAAAAACTAAAACATGCTTTTAAGCAAAGAATTAGTTGTAAATTTTGAAAGAAAAAAAGATTATTCTAAAGTCCATTTCATCTAAAAAATTCGCTTAATTATTGAAGAGGAAAAGTTCATTGTTTAGGATTTTACGTTTTTGAAAGCTAAGAATTATTTTCTGGTTTCAGAAACCAAAAAAAAAATTACTAAAATAAAATGTTTCGAGATTACATACAAAGACATAACTAAGATTAAAAAAGCTATTTTATTTAAAGTATTAAAGCCTTATTTGATTTTATACCTTTAATTTAGTTTCCCTATCTGAAATTAACAACACTGTAAAATTCCGGATCAAATTGCAGTGAAAATGCCAGCAATTCAGATGCATCACCCGTAAAATTAATTTTAATGTAAAATCCATTTTGACGGTAAAATTTATTTCATCTATTTTACAGTAATTATTATTTCACTACAGTGATTCACTGATTTTAAAATGAATATTACTGCGGAAATTACGGTACATCAGATTTTTTGTGCCATAAAATACTGCGGTAAAAATAGATTTTGTGGTATACAAAAATTTTTTACAGTGTACTTTGCGTCTCATTTTCTTTTCAATTATATGATGTTCATTTCATTTTTCAGTGTTGTTTAATTGTTTACTTATTCTCTACAGGTTTTTCTTTTTTGCAAGGAAAATGATTTTACGTTCATCTGTTGATTTGCGAACACTTTTCAGATAGGCTGTACAATACATCACTTTAAAATAAATGTATTTTTAATGACTTTAAAAAATATGTGCATTATTGGTTTGTATAATGTCTTTGACTTTCTCATTAAGTTAATTTAAGGGTAACGATTCACTAAAAAAAATTTCTGTCTTCTATAAACAATTTTATATTTCTGCGAAATAAAAGCTATGTTTTATTTCGTAATTTTATGTAATGTGAAATTATTCAGGTTAGGAATGATTGGATTTAAAGGAAATGAAAAATAAACTAAACATATATTAAGGACATGCAGCTAAATCTGAAATTGGTTTAATAAATATTAAACTCTATTGAATTCGAAATGCAACATTTCAGTCCATTTCTAAATTCATCATGAGTAGTTAATAATAACAGCTACTTCAGAGTGGTTTTATTATGTCACTGCTAATATATGTTTAGGACATTTTAACGCAATTGTTAATGGAAAAGTTTAGATTTTGCAGTATTTTACATTTAAAAAATTTAAAAATTAAAATATATATATATAAATTATGTGAAATTAACTTACGATCAGCAACTGTAAAGCCAAATAATTTATTATACGCTTTCCACAGACAAAAAAAAATCTCATTTAACTTTTAAACAGTATTCATCATGGCATAAGAGTTGATATAAAAATGTATTATAATGAATTATAATGCATTATAATGCTATAATAATATAAGTAAATGAGTAAATGAATTATAATGCTTAATAAAATATAATTATTTCTTATCACTTGTTTTTACTTTATGAAATATATTGTATCTACATTAATTTATATTTTAATTTAAAATATCAATCATTATTATTATGATTTTTAAAGGTTTCTAAAATATAATACCATTAATTATTATTAATGATACTTAAAATATGCTTTAGGTACTGAGTTATACATTACAAGTTTAATTTTTAGTGACACGGATATTTTATTGATTGAAAGATGATTTTGTTTTTATGCTCTACTTAAAAAGGCCATGTATAATTTTTTCTTGTATTTTAAAATAAACTACCTTTAACTATTTCAATATTAAATATTTCTTAATATATAACTTCCTTTTTTGGCTTACATATGGATTAAAAGTCAATTATAAAATATAAAAAATATCATAAATATATAGTAATTCAATTTAAGGGTAATAAATTATGACTTGTAATTTATTTGTAATTTATTTGAATGTACTTTAATTAAAATTATAACTTCAATAATTTTAAATATTTAGGAGGAGTAATAATTAAGCAGACTCAAAATAATGAACTAAACACCATTAAAAATAAATAAATTGCAGCTTACTATTAAATATGCATACACATTAAGTTACATAATTTTTTTCGTAATTTCTTAGGGTAAATATTAAGTTAACTAGCGTAAACATTGAATGAAAAATTTTAAGACTAATAAGTCAGGGTTATTACTATACTAAACATTTTTTTATATTCTTCAACCTACCAGGCACAGCAACTGAAATAAGGAAACAAAAGTCTAAATTAGTGCCAACTTACAAAAGAATATTTTTTAAACATAATACATAATTGCATTACAAACGAAACAGTTTCTTTATAAATACGCTTTGTTTTAAAGACTTCATTGATTGAAATCTTTTTTGATGTTACAAAACATATAAAATTCTACTCGAAATTATAAACGAAAATAGAATAAATACGATGAGATTTTCATTAAAAACACAGTTTATTGTCGAAAAGTAAAAATAAGTTTTAAAATAATTTTTGAAAAAAAATTTTTTAATGATAGAAACTAACCTTGAACTCGTTTTGCTGGTGATAAAATGAATTCTTCTCAATAGTAGGTATGATAATTGTAACTGTTTTTGTATCATTGAATAGTATGACGAGTCCCAACCCTATCTTAAACCTATTGCTATGCATTCGTAAATGCATAGCAATTCATAACTATACAGACAGCAAATAATGCTCACTTTTCTCTCTACAGAGTTTAACATTTGAAATGTATTCTACACTGTAAAAAATTCCAGATCAAATGGTGGCTAAAAGTACCTGCATTCCGGTTTACGAAAATTCCATTTTTGCCGGAGCATGTTACGGAACGAAAAATCTCATATACAGTAATTTTTACAGTAATTAAATAAATATTATTGTAAAAATTACTTTATGATATTTTACGATAAAAAGGGTTTTACAGTAAAATTATGTAACGGACGATGCTCTGAAAGTGGCGGTATATTATACCATAATTTGATCCGGAATTTTTTTACAGTGTAGCATAAAATATTAAGAATTTAAATCCATCATTAACATCTTTAAAACAAATTTCTCTTTGAAAATTAAAAGTTTTATCAGGAATAAATTATTAAAATAAAAAATAGCAATAGATGACAGACAATAGAAAAACTTGTAGAAACAAAACAAAAATTATGCTTTGAAAAAAAAACAATTTCTATTAAAAATTTGCAACTCTGTTAAAAACTCAATTATAAATTTTAGATCATTGAGGTTTCGCTGTGAATCTATTATTCTTATAATTAAAATCATTATTATTGAACCTGCATTAGCGTAATTAAAATATAATATCATACACTTTGTTTGTTGATATTAACTACAAACATTTTTTTTCCAATTCTTCCCAAAATATAGCTCAGCTTGTTTCAGATTTTTGTTGTACATGCTAGACAAGAATTTGTATTCAGAAATTTTCAGAACATGAACGGTGACGCTTTCTTACTAATAGCAGCTCACACGCTTGATATTTCAATTATGTGTTGCTAGCAACAGTGTCGCACTGTCTTAATATATGTATGCTTTGAAGGATAATATGATTATTTAGAAGCGTAAAATGTTCACTTTGGTACTTTCACGAGATTAACCATTTGTTCTCGCCTATCTTTCTAAAATGTCAAACGTTTTTGTAATTTACAAAGCAATGTTTTGGAACTAGGGGATTTATTAGTGATCATTGTGAAGTGTTGATAATTTAAAATATATCAAAAAAATTACACGCTTTTAATTACTTGTCATGTGCATAAATCTAGTAAAAGGTAATGATCAACAATGATAGTATCGTTATCATTATCGAAACAATTGTTTAAAAATTTGTAATATCGTGATATATATTTAGAACTGTACCGAGAACTATCGGCAATTATACCCTTGTGAGGAATATTTATCACTTGACAAATCTGCAATTGTATTTTTGTTCTTACTCATAGATTACATTATGGCAAAAATCAATTTTGTTTTTTTATTTTATTTGATAAGGAAATGTTGTCAAATGTATTAAATAAATGAATTTAAAAGAAATTAATACGTCCTGAAATCTCGATATTTTTAGACAGTAAATTTTGACATTGAAATTTCAAATTTGAACGCTAATATTGAATATTTAGAATTCAACATTATCTGAAATTTAGAGATTTATCTCATTTTGGAAAAGATTTATGTAGATTTGTAACATAATTTATAATATAATTTAGATATCTACTAAAAATGTTAAGAGTTCATGTTTTTATGTATGCTATTATATGTTAATGTATACTTCTGCATATTTTATTTTTAATTATTTTGGAGAAATACTCAGTAAACATTTGAAATAACCACCCTTTAATATTCATGATACATAGAAGATTAAAAAAATTTTAATGTCTTAAGAAACGTTTAAGGAAATCTATATATATTATGGTAAAATAATGGAACTGAATACTAACTTTGATAAGATTGAAAATTTATATTTTTAAATTATTTACCTGAAAATGATATTCCAGCTAAAACTGTAGTAAAAGTGAATACAAAATTGAACATTTTTGGTTTGAGTAATGTAGAGCTTCTGCAAATGCTATATCGAAGTGGCTTGTAAAATATGAATTACCCTTATATATGATTCTGCCCTTTACATAAAAAAACGATACATTTTTGAATATTTCTAAGTAAATGGCAGACTAATTCAACAAACATTTTTTTTTTCATTTCAATAAATCGATAGTTTTACCAATTCTATATTTATTACTCAAAACTAAAGCTTGAAAATATATTTTAGGAGCCTTGTATAAACACAATAGCACTTTATTACAAACATAAACCTTAACGATTATACAAGAAATGTTTCATTAATGTAAAGGAAAATTTTATGTATTATACAACGGTTTAAAATAAAAATAAAAATTCTGATATTTATGCTTATGTAAACGTTGAATTTATAATTTAGCTTTAAAATACCAATTACATTTATGTCATTCAAATAAAATCTTTTATTTCTTTTCTTTTCATGAAATCGTTCATTTGCATGCAAGCTTATTTGCATAGATTGCTCTTAACATCAAAATTTGAAATAAACTCATAAATAATAAATGAGATTTATTATTACATGAAAAATACTATCAAATGGAACTCAATTCAATGCAATTTTTATGCACTCGAGTAAAAATGTGAAAAGAAACAGAACAAATGCAATTATTTTTTAATTTAGCCAAATAATCCATGCATAATTTTTAATTTACTTATCAGGTATTACTATGTAAGTTTAATTTTTCTTGTTTCTGGGATTATTTGAAATCCATTTAACAACTAATTATTTATTTAGACTAGTTCCACTAGGCTCACATTCAGTTGTTGTATAATTTGAATCGTTTAAATTAAAAAGTTCTGTGATAATCTATTTAAATTGCATGAAAAATATAAAAATGTTAGGGAAAGCCTTTAAAAATAAATATATGTTTAAACTAATGATATTTTTCTTAGAAAAATAACAATAATGATTTTTTTTTTTAAAAGGACAATACTTTACTTATAAAAAACGTACTTATTCATAGCTTATTTTATGTAGATTTTTTTTAAAGTTTCTAAGAATGAATTCAGTTTAAGTTTAAGAGATACGAATTACAACTTTTTTCTGAAAAGATCAGTTACTTATTTTTTACTGTTATTTCTGGAAATAAAAGATTTTGCATATTTTATTTCCAGAAGTTAGATTTGTTTTAAAAATTATGAGTTTTAAATCTGATTTTTTTGGCATGAAAGAGTGAATCCATCTTGCTAGTAAGCTATTATGAGCATAACACGCATATAATATGATATTTTTAAGTGAAGTTAATGGTAAACTATCCCCATTTAAATACTTTTCTCTTATGCAATCTGAAACAAACTGACTCATAAATTGGACAAAAAAAATGTTAAAAACAAACAGGTTAGAATAACAGTTCTAAAATTTTGCTTTAATTATATGCTTATTAATTTTCTCTGGTAACTCAATAATTTCGTGATATATATTTTGCGAGTTCTTATGCTTAATATTTAACGCTGGAGAAATACTCATTTTAGTTTTTGAGATTGACCAAAATAACGTCGCTAACTGTTCCATTTTAAACTTTGTTACTATTTTTTTTCTCTTTTTTATTAAGCTTTTCATTAGTTTACCAACATTTTGCGAGTTAACTTAAAATAACGCACTTAAAAATGTCATCTTTAAGCACTAAAATTTTTTTGCCTATGTAAGGAAATTTTATAAATTATTTGCCACAAATATAATTTTTTAGTACCACTTAAATGTTCATAAACAAATAGCAATGCTTGTAAGTTGAATGATTTTTTATAAATAAAGCTCTCATAATAATGACCAAAATTAACTAAGCATCATTGGTGTCAATAATTGTTAGGCGATATTTTACGCTTCTCTTAAACGGATTAGTACCATGTGGCCATTAATTTTTCTTTTTTTGTACGCAGCTTATTTTTAACTTTGATTTGTACATATTACCAAAATTACTTATACTTCATTGGAGTCAATAATAGTATGACGATTTTTCACGGTTTCCTTAAAAGAATAAGTATCTTTTATTTATTAATTTTGCTTTCTAGTACATAGGTATTTAATGAAATTATTGCAGAATAAAAAATTTAATCAATCATCATTGACGTCAATAAAAGTATAGCAAATCTCTTACGTTTCTCCTATACGAGTTATTACTATTTCTTCATTATTTTTACTTTTTAATGCAGGACTTATTGTTTTTTAATTTTAATTACTGTTGTTTTTACATTGCTTACTTTCAGTTTGACGTTTTAAAAAGCATAATTAAAAGCAAACTAAATACGTAGCTTCAAATAACTTTAGACATACTAATTTGGTGATGCAATCCGCCAATGCTAAAAAGTAATTAACTATTAAATAAAATGAGCGAAAGCTCCCTTTCTTCCATGGAATTTATAAGCTAGCAATTATTAATCGTTAAAATATTTGAAAGAAAAAAAATCGCCTGCAGTGTCCTTTTTATTTAAGGTGAGTTCCAAACCAATGAAAAAATTCTATTCTTAACATGGCTCTCGATTAAAGTTTAGAATCGAGGGGTATATATATNTGAGATAAATTGGAGAATGACATTTCTTTGAAACAACTAACAGTTGATAAATAATGTTGTTCATAATTGCGGCTTGAGGATAATAAAAAAATCTTATCTTTAAACATGAATTTGACACATAAATTTGACATAAAATTGGTAAATCGCATTTATTTGAAACAATTAATAAATATTGTTTTTCATAATTGAGTAAATAATGGTAATGGAAAAATTATTATTATATATATATATATATATATATATATATATATCGGATTGCGGGTAAACGATAGACTCTAAGAATTCGAAATTCAACATTAAGGTAAAGGAGTACAATTGCATACTTTTTACGAACCACAATTTTCAATTTTTAATCAGATTTGAAAATTCGGAGAAATTTAAAAAAAAGAATTTTCTCATTGATTTAGTGGAAGCCATTGTTTAAAAATAAGCCATAGATGATTCAGTTTTGTCAAATATTTTAAAGACAACTTATAGCTTATAGCTTTAATAAAAAAAATTGTTTATTACATATTCTGCAATGTTTAATTATTTTTTATTCGTTATCCCAAGTTATCTGTTAGATCAACTTGATTGTGCTAGAATAAGCAGACTACGTCATCTGATTAATATTTTTGAGTAAGGCTCCTTTTTTAAGGTTACCTGGAACCACGTAATTATTTTGTTTATAGAAATGTTGAGAATTCGCAAGAACTAACAGTTCTCCTTTCTCCTAATAAACTAATGAATGAAACAACCTCACGTCTATAGATACATTGACATCTTTATTGAAGAATTATAATTAACTACAAACAAAATATAGTTGCCAACCTACAAATTTATGAAGTAAAATTTTAAATATGAGTGGCATTTAAAGCTGCTTTCAAACTATTATCTTACATTTTGATGAATGATATAGATTAAATTAATCAAAATAAATATTAATCATCCAAATGCAGTAATGTTGAAAATATTAAATTAAAATATTAAACAAAAAGTACAAAACAAAAGTTCACAATTCAGAGTTCAAGTAATAAATCTAGATGGGAGTTTAACCCGGTATACGCATCTGGGGAGCATAGGTTCAAGATCTTTTGTTAACTCAGGAACAGAACTATTTTGTTAACTCAGGAATTTCCTTTTGGTTTTTCTGGAATAAAATTCTTTTTTCTAAATGTTGAAGTAACGGTTGAATAATCTGTCTCCAAATCTGTTATTTCCACAGCTAATAGTCTTTTGATCGGACAAATTAATTATTTCCGTCTTTCCAGGGATATGTTTCGATTACACCAGCTGAAGGCCATTTTACTTTTCATTTATTTTCGAATTCAATGAGAACTATATCTCCTATTTCAGGTTGTTTCACTATACATGTTGATCAGGGACATTCAACACGAAGAACGATGTATGTATTCTAATCTAAAGTTGTGTCATAGGATGTTTCGTAAACTCTGAATACGCCCCTGTCTCTTGATGAAATTAATTTTGTCCAGATGATAAGTCAGGTTTTCCTGAAACTGGAATTTCACCTAAAAATATAGACGGTGTTAAAGGTATGAGATCATCTGAATATTCTCCTACCTAAGTGAGAGGTCTTGAGTTCACAGTAGCTTTACAATAACACAACGCACTTAGTAATTCTTCGTAGTTCAGAGATGATTTTTCTAAAATTGGCCGTAAAAGTTTCGTAATCATCTGTACAAGGCGTTCCCGAAACCGCCCCCGCAAGGGCGCGGCAGATAGCAGAATTTTCTCTGGATCCTGTTGACAGCATTTTCCTTTTCAATAACGTTCCGATATGTCTTCAACAGATTTTTGCCACCATTATCTCTCTAAATTACGGAATGGTGACCTCTTCGTGCTATAAATCTCCTGAAGCCAAGTATAAAAACCTTGAGAAGATAGAGACAAAATCAGTGAGACAAGTCAAAACAACTGAACTGTCCTGAAAACAGAGCAGATGAAAAGTAGGATCCAGGCTTGACTCTTGTTTGCCAAAATCAATGGGTTGGCTAAAATCGTAACCAACAATTTCGAAAGAATTCGCATCTCTGCCTCGATCTTCGGATAAGGTGTATTGCTTGTAATCTTTTGACTTCATGTCTTCTACATCTCATGCATCTTGATAAAATTTCATTTTAAATAATGCAATTTTAAATAGCAAAATACAATTCTTTTTAATTTTTTTTTATTTATTTTATAACCGTTATTGAACAGCGGACCCAAATTTTGGGCTGACAGCTATTAATGCTCAACTCCGTAGCCTTGTAATTTTGAACTCAATCCAGAAGACAAGGGAACTCCTGCATCAAGTATTGGGAGAAATTTGACTTCGTGGAGGACTTTTTGATGGAACTAACTCGCACTTGAGTTAATGGAGAGGAAGACCACGAGAACTTCCCTCGGTTAGCCTGACGTCAAAGAGACTCTCACCCATGATCCGTCTACCAGTGAAGAAATTTTCTAGTCAGCGTTGTGGTCGGTGAAAGGCGGAGGCGGATTTCGTATCGACCAGCCATCACTGGGATCTAACCCCGGTTCACCTCATTGAAAGACGAACGCTCTATCCCCTGAGCCACCACAGCTCAAAATACAAAATTTGAGCGAAATCTGTCG